AACAAGACCTTGTCTGATCAGAACAAAAAATTATCTGAAGAAAACAAGAAACTTCAAGATGATAATGATAAACTCACTCATGAAAACCTAAACTATGATGATACTTTAAAGAAAGTAAACACCGCTGCTAATTTAACTTTAAATTATTTTGGTGAGAAATACAATAAAGATGATCTGATCGAAAATAAAATGGAAAAAATTATTAGCGGAGCAGAAATAATAATGCAAGTAAAACCTGTGGATGTTAGAAAAAAAAAGTAATTTTTTATTAAAAATAAATGTATTTTTATTAAAAAAATGTAATTTTTTAAAATTTTTAATAAAATATTTTAAATTGTAATGTTTGTTAAATCAAAATATTGATCAAATTGCGTCTCATTGTATCGGGTGTAATTAAAGAGATAAGCTCTATAAAAAAAATAATACTTTCTCAATATAAAATCAAGATCAATTTCATGATAGTAAAACGTCCTGAAAACTATAAAATATTCCTAAAAATTCAGCCATATTTCACATTTTAAACATTCGATGAGATAAAAAAAATACCAAAACCCAATGACAAGGGATAATACATATATGATAATTATTCTAAAAAAATTGCTCCTAATGAGCTTTAAAATATAATAATGTTAATACAATGAAATGTTTTCTGTTTTATAATTCTTTAATTGCTCGTTAAATTTTCTCAAATTCTCATTCTCCTTCAATATTTCTTCAACATACTCAGTTATTCTTTGGATCAAATCGGTATTCGCTATACCAATACGTGTACTTGCAATCAAGCTTGTTATAATAAAAAAAAAGTTCTACAGAAAAAAAAACCAGAAATGTGGCAATCATATGATAAAATGTTACAATAAGAATTTGCTTGAATGCTTGGGATAATAGATAAAAATACGGATGTTTCCAAGTCAATATCTCTGATACTTGATTTTGATAATTTTGCAATTGTTCGTTTCTCTTTCTCAATAACTCGTTCTCCTCTTGTAAATTCTTAAGTTCATTTGTGAGAAGTAAAATATTGGCCATTATATAATGAAATCTAACTCGTCAAAAATATTGTTCACTTTATATTCCAATCTTTCATCGTCCACTCGTTCAACCAATATCCGGTAGATCACGTACACAAATTGATGCTTGTTCAAAGGATCTGGTGACATTTTATACTTGAAATCTCCTTCTGGAGAAAATCTGAAAAATGCCCCAACACCACGAAGATCAGGTTGTTTAGAAAATTGCTCAAGTATCAATTTTTTTATCTTGCTTAACTCCTCTTCACTCACTTCAACCACCTCTTTATAGCATGATATAACAGAGTCTATCGCCCCCAATGGTCCTACTAAATTATTCATCATATCAATCACTTCTCGTTTAAATTGTTTGATCAATTTCTTGAATTCATCATCACTAACCATGAGTGGTTTACGTTTCTTATCAAGCTTTTCATCAATTTTTCTCAGCAATTTCTCATTATTCTTCACAAGTTCACGAACCGATCTTAACAATATCTTGATGTTGTCTGTTGCTAATCATTCGACTAACCTAAGGATCTCGATCGTTATCTTCTCCCCAAAAAAGCCACATAATTTTGCATACATCCTGTCTTTTGTTTTTAAGATCCTCTTAATCAATTGATCAACATCTTCAAACGTTGCTTTTGATGTATCGAGAAAAACGGAAATATACTCCTGATCATCTGGGTCAACGAAATAATGATCACGTTCTTTATCCTTGTACATGTTGTTAATGGACCTCCTAATCTTTTGATACTCTATTTTTTGAGCATCTGACAATTCTGTGGATGAATTTATCATTCGATCTAACAGATTATCATCATCCAACGAGCTGTTAAACTTGCCTTGAGGAAACTCCCTAAGATATTCAAGGAGTAACTTTTTAATGTTATTGTTATCCAACTTATCAGGTTTTTCATCTAATGTATCATTCTTTTTATCTAATTTATC